TATGAACGACCTTCGAAAAAAACGAAGGTGTTGAACCGTATCCACTACAAGCAGCACATACAAGATGTACAGTACAAATATTGAGAGCCGTTGAAATATCTTCAAGAGCGACGAAACAAGATAAAAAACAAAGCAAAAAACGTCATCCCCACGCGATCGGTGGCGCAAAAACGTCAGAGACCGTCGGTTCGGTACTTTGCGTTGTTACCGGCCGGACAGGGTGGCGCGGTGTCAACATCACAGGTGTTGGCTTATTGAGGTTGTCGATAGTAACTAGTTTGTAGATACATGTACAAGTGTGCATGCAACTTCGCACACCAGATCGTAGACAAAGTCGTGGTAGGCGATTGTGTCATTCATTGTGGTCGCTTGGTTGCCGGTGGCGCTGGCATCTCTCTTTCTCGCCCCGGCTACCCGCCCACCGAAATGTTTCCATCACCGAAGAGAAAACATTACCCGAGACTCACCGCACGTTGTACGTTCGTACGGCTCTCGTCGACGAAACGACGGCAGAGCACATGGCCAAACGCACTTCTACAAGATGGCAAACAAACCAAATTATTAAAATTTGCCGAAACACGGCGGTCGGCGCACAGCTCTCGATCAAATCACGTTTCGCTTAGAATAACGAGCGTCTCGTTCATGGAACGCAAAACTTGCTGTTGCATGCTGCATGCACTCAAGACTAGAGGTTAACATGTCGAGGAATATCGCAGGATTCTCGACCGACGAGCAGAAAAACTACGACGAAACAAACTTCATTTTTCCTTTGTCGTTGCCCCCAGCGTTGTAAAAAAAACGCAGAGTTGAGCGCTACGAGACGGACATTCCTTTCGGTCGTGTGCACGCACACCCGTGGAGACGGAGCGTGGCAACGTTCGTTCGTGGGGTCAACCCGCCGATGATCGGAAACCAGGTCGCTTACCTTACTTACACCAGCACACGGTATCCAGAGACGTGTACAAAATTGTACTTATGACAGAAAACAGGAACACTCCGATGTGACGAAAAAATCAACAGCGCATGCCCTGTGTACACATACAACAGATTTTATATATCCCCTGTTGTGTACTTGCTCCCCCACGCGAGACATTTTATTATCACGGAAATTAGCTTCCTGCCTTCCCCCGGAGACTGGGCTGGACGAAAGAAATAACTCAGCTACCGAAGCAAGCGGAACAGTCAATCCCCGGGTGCGCAACGCCATGCCGCCCCTCTCCCTCCCCACTTGAAGGAATCAATCATCTGATGTTTCGCGCCATCCTCACCGATGACATGCTTGATTCAGCCACCACGTCTACTGGCGGCATGGCTGTCTCCTCCAGCCCTGCCCGCGACATCGCTCTTCCCTTTTGTAGGAGATATAGAAAACAGTATTCGCGGTTGCGGTGCCTTGTACCTGCGATGATAATGGCGGTTCAAGGCACGGGCGCGCACGGCAAGCCAGGAGTGAGAGAGGGAACGGACTAATCATGCAACGGTATTCATACCTGATGTCGGCCGGTGTGTATAGATAACAAGAAGAGCGTGCCTTGACCTTGAAGGGACAAGAGAAAACGGGTGAGAATTTTCGCCTTCTTATGCAAGTACACGGCAAGGACCCTCATCGGGCACGAGCTGCCTCTAGCGAAACCTTACACATGCATGTGGTCAACACCCCTTCAAGCATTGATAGTGTATTCGGTTTTGGCCAACTCGCGACGAAGCTGAAACTTTTCGCCTGTTTTTTTGGGGGAAAAACTCGCTCTTCAGCTTTACTTTGACGAAACAAGGCCAACGAACTACAGCAGTACACAAACATGCGTATACCGCGCGCAACAAACGAAGAGGTTGCCGCTCACCATCTCTCGGGGGACAACAGCAACAACGGCGAGGCACAACAAAAAAACCGCGAGGTATTCTGCAATGATCGACCCGCGGGGTTGCAGCAACGTGGATGGTCGTTGCACAAACACATGCGGTTTCGTGTCATCATGTATGCTGGCTGGAGCCATGCGCAAATCATAACAAGCTCTCACAGCCACAGCAGCCGTAAGTAGTCCAACACGCACTTGAGATTACTTGCTGTCGTGGCGTTCAAAAAAGAAGGAAAATCGTGCGCAAGAAGGGCTGGCTGGATAGTAGACGGTAGACGGACGTGCTTTCTTTCCTCTGGTAGTGGCGTTCCGGGTGTCCGTGCTACCAGCCGTGGCACCGCCGTAGCCCTCTGGGGCGAGCGGTGATCCAACCCCGTCTTTGTGGCGGTCGATGATGATATGAATGGCCCCCGTGGAAGAAATGCAGAGGTGCGCCCGACCAGCTGGAATTCGCCGCGAGCGCGTGGAGGATGGGAATCTCTAATAATACTGCTTTGTATCTTTGAATCATAGCTTGCTGTAGGTGGGGTTGCATGCTTCTACATGTGAGTAGGAAGGTGAGGAAGACCGGAAGAGTGAATCTTGGAATTTGTCGGGGATTTCGCGCTAATTATCCGCCGGGGTCGCTTTTGAGCTCTCAAATGATGGGTGATTTGCCAAATAAGATGTGCTGCTGCTGCTACTGCTGCTGCTACTGGCATGCTGCCGCTGATTCTACTGCTGCATCATAGCATCGTAGAGCCTGAGCGAACCCTTGGCTCCGGGAAGTACTTGGATGCCGGCGAGTAGAGCGCAAAACAGCTGTATAACGAGGTGCTCTTGTGCTGGTGAGAACGGTCGAACTGCTGGCTGTTGCACGAAAAATTTCCCGCCGAAGTTTCGAGGCTGTTACCCAACGAGCGGCCCGCAAGCCGTCCGGTAGGAGGGTGCACGTTGAAGTGGCACACGACTTCGACACTCCACCGCTGATGCATCGCGCATTGCACTGCTGTTGTGCCGTGTTTTGTGTCCTCTACTACACTACATCACCGCATTCTCTGGCGGCTGCGGGGGCGTTGGTAACAAGAGAGCCGGCGGAGAACCGACGGAGAACCTTGCATGGCTTACATACAAAGCACCCATGCGTCGTCCTACAGTAGATATCCTGCTGTTTTTTCTCCACATTCACAGCTTCGAAGAACTCAACACTGCACTCCTTCGATTGGGGCATTCCCTGAAAAGGGTCATTCGGCAGCAGCTGGCGAATTGAACACACCGCTAATGAACTGAAACGATAGGTTCGGCTTTGGACAATATTCTCGTCAAGAGTGCAGCAGAGCAAAAGGGCAGCAATTGAAGGGCAGCACACTCACGCTTGTCGGATGGCGATGGAGAGACCGCCTGCACTAGCATAGGGTGCTGTTGTTGTCCGTGTGAAGCGTGCAGGTCCAGGGGTGCAGCAGAGAAAAGAGAGAGACGGAGAGGTAGAGAGTGGGAAGGGAAGGTGGAGGAAAAGGCAACAAGGTAACGTATGCATACGTGCCCGATCTGCAATCTCCGGTCTGCAGGAGACGGGACCTTCCCCGCTGACCAATCAAAGACACGTGAAACCGACACGCCTTCGCACAGGCGCCCGAGGCGGGTCAACATGCGACGTACCAAAAGGCAGACACCTTGCATTCACCCAAAGACACGTTCCCGTGACCTTGCACGCCACCGCTGCTGCTGCTGCTGTAGCGGTCCGTCACCCTCATGGTGCCCTCCGTTATAGACAATGCGCCGTGGGACCACAGCTGCTGCGCGGTCAAGCTCGTCAAGCTCGCGGCGGGAAGTTTTGAATTCGACGGTACCGGTGCCGACCAACAGCCGTCTTGGACGGCTGTCTGCTCATCGACGGCAACAGGCGAGAGGAACGTAACTGTGAACTGTCTTCCCCTGGCGGGCCAGCAGCAGCCTAGTGATAGCGATCGCTCGGTGAGTGGAAGTTTTACGGCGCGGTGTGTCATGATCCGGGAGCCCTTTTGATCGAGAGTAACATCGTGGCGCTCGCTGTTGTTGACTCTGTACATATCGGTATGCGCACACCGGAAGAGATCACACCCTTTGGAAAGATTTTCAAAGCTCGGTTTACTCGGCAGAAAGAGCAGTGGCGGTGGCATTGGAACAGCAGTCTCGTCGAGAAATTCCGCAACGTATCATTTGATTTCGGCGTCTTCATTGTCATGGAGAAATCGGGCTTTGAAAATCGAATCCAGGGCGTGTGGTATCTTGTGTAACTGATAGCAGTATGTGGATGACAGGTGTAGAAGTGCTGCAACCATTGTTGTTGCACATACAAAAGTAGGACCAAGATACGATCCGAACAGGCTATGTTACTGATGGTTGATCAGCAAGCGACCCAACTATGGATGCGTCCCTCTTAGCCCCACCTGTGGAGCTTGGGAATCCGAGACCCGCGGGCGTGGTCTCCCTCGCCCCTTCGGCGGGACTCTCTCGTTTGTCTCTCTCTTCTGAGACCCTATCCTCTCTAAATCTCAACAAAGAAAACTGCCAGCCCTTAGTAGTGGGTAAAGACTACTGCGACCCAGGCCTCCCCCCAACGAGGGAAGCCTGTGTCCTTAAGTAGCTACAAGTAGTGTATAGACCATCTACCCTTGGTTTACACTGCATCATACAGACGATGCACGCCAAAAATGTAGTGCATACTGAAATCCAATGAACAATGGCATCTCGATCTATCCCAACGTGATTCTTACAGCTGTTGTCGTTGTTGTTGTTGTTGTTGTTGTTGTTGTTGTTGTTGTTGTTGTTGTTTTCTTCACATGAGTCTTGTGTAATGTGACAGAAAAAAAAGTACACACACACCCGCACACCCTTCACCGGTTAGCGCGGTCAATGCTGCTAATAAAGACACCCTTTTTACCCTTCAGTCAGTCCATGTACCGTACAGGAGTACAGCAGAAGTCTAGACTACAACCGTCGCAAAGAGTGACGTGCGCCATTCATGACGGAGACTATTACTTGGCCGACAGCTCGCAGGCCGTGTTCTACCTCTCGCTCGAGGTCGTGAGCCGTGCGAAGCAGCTCGTTCCTGCGCATCAACAGCACACATCTTATCTGTCTTGTACAGGACAACCTGTACGTACCCATGTAGATACCTAGCTCATGTACTTCTGCACCATTGCATCTTTCGTCTCCTACCAGCAATGGAGCCGTCCTTGGCGCGAAGCCCGGTGCCTGCCAACGCCCAGGTGGGAGAAGTCTGGCCCAGTCCCACCAAGGCGTTCGTGTTTGCTACCGCCGGATGACAACGTCCAGCAGCCGCCGTCGCCCAAGCACCGGGTTGTTGTCGACTTGTCGTCCGCGCTCGTGCCGTCGTCGATACCTCCAGAATACACCACGAAGGTGGGGCATCAAAGGCGCCCTGTTGGCAGCGGTGGTGGACTACTCGTTAACTAGCAAGGCCTGCCTCCTGCGGCCGCATGGCATCCGGCCGAAGTGTAGACTTCGCAGCCCTCGCTAGCTTTGACAGGACATTCGGCAGACATGCATCCTGTTGTGATTCCAGACGGTTTTGTATGCTCTCGAGCACTTGTAGCATGAAATTGGTGACAAAGCCCTTCGCCAACACCTGTCTGCACATACAGTCGACATGTAGGATGGCACGCCTGGTATGATACTCTCGCTTTACAAACATCATGACGACGGATAAGAAAAAACATTCCGATCCGCTGCTCCGTTTGTGAGGATGTGAAATGCGGAAAGACTCAAGAAGACGCCTCCATATTTTATTCTCTGTCCGGGTGGAGTGCCATTGAACCACGCAGTACTTCGGGTTGGTTGGCGGCGAGCTAGGCGTCATGAGCAAGATGGATCCGCTAGGGCCGCGGCCGTCGAGTCCCGACTATTGGCGCGCGACGGAAGCTGCGGTGCCCTCGGAGGCAACTCTCGAGCTGCGCCACCAACGACAAGCCAGGGCCAAACGGCGTGGGTCAAAGACCTCAACCACCGCCGACACCGCCGACGTCACTGCTGCTGACTCAGCCTCCGACGCCGTCGGGGTCGGGGCTCGTGCCACGTGGCCCGGAGACGCCGACAGCCCGACACGGCTCCCCGGCAGCAAGGACAGCAGCAGGCACCGGCGGGGGGGGGGCTTTACCGCGCAGGAGCCCCCCCTCNGACACGGCTCCCCGGCAGCAAGGACAGCAGCAGGCACCGGCGGGGGGAGGTCTTTACCGCGCAGGAGCCCCCCGTCACGAAGCCGGTCGAAGGGCCGGACCCGCCGCCGTGGTCAGAGTCCAAGCTCGGCCTCCTGTGCGAGCCGTCGGAGGGGGCATCGGCGGCGGCATCGCTGGCATCAATAGGGGCGGAGCACGGCGGGTCGTCGGCTGCGACGTCCCCGGAGGACTGGGGATTTGTGGTCGATATGGTGCCGGAAACCAACAACAGCTGCTGTTCCGCTACTATTAATACCAGCAGCGGGGGTCGCGCGGGACCCATCTTTGAGTCCAAGAGTGAGGAGGACGACGACGAGGACGACTCGTCCGCCTTCGCCCTGAGCTTCGTCCGCGCTCCCTGGGCAGTCTCCGACGACGAGGGTGGCGAACAAGGGCCGCGGGCGCGACAACCACGGTGTCGTCTGCGGGCCAACGAGATCGTGTTGCCGAGCCCGGCGGCTGGGGCAAAGAATACGGAGGCGGTGCAGGTGGCGCGACGGCTAGCGGCGCTTCAGGGGGCCAAGCGCGGACGTCGAGGAAGGGCCAGAAAAACGCGCGTGCGCGTGCGCGGCGGCGGCGGCGGCGGCGGAGGCGGCAATTGCATCGTCGAATCGCATGGAAAACTCAACTCTAAGGTTGTCTCCATCCTCCAACAAGACGGCGGAGAAAATTGTCGGGGGCGGGAAGTGGGCATCACGAGATCACCGATAGCCATCGACAGCAGCAACGACAACGTTAGCACCGCTCTTTTCAAGCCCCAACCCGAGCTGTACGATGTATGGATCGCTCGGGACTTTTTCCACAGCAAAGGGCTGCCGACGGGCAAGCGAGTGAGGGGGGAATCGGAACCGCGGCCCCCTAAAGGCCTCAAGGCCGCGGCAGCGGCAGGCCGCGGGAGCGTGAACATCCCAACGATAACGCCGGCTTTTCAAGCCGCGAAGCGGGCGTCGGAGGACCGCGAGCCCCCTGGCCATCGCGAACAGCATCACAAACGACCCGCTGCGACGGCGGCTTCGGTCGGCAAGCGCTGTGCTGTCCGCTACGTAGGCGGTCCGGAGGACTTCACGGGGAGGACCGCCTCGGGAGCAGCGTCGCGGGAAGACGTACGGGCGGGGGCGAGGTCGCCCCAGGTTGCCGGGAAATGTCGAACCGGCGCCCGTTTGAGACCACCGGAGGCCGCCAGAGTCCCGGGTGCGACGGCCGCCGTAACGGGTGTGAGGCTCGAAATTGGTCGGGTCGACAACGACCGGATAGAACCGGGCTTCAACGGCGACAGCGGCGGCGACGCCAGTGATACTGATGATGACGATGGTCACGGCAGCGGGCCTGTCCTGGGAAGGGAGGCCGAGGAAATCGTCGACATCAGCGGGGATATCGTCGCCTGGCAGGCGGAGGAGGAGGAGGTGGACGGGAGAGAAGGAATGGAGGACGAGGACGAAGAGTACTTCGACTACGCCAAGCGGTTCTCGTGGAAAACGGCCGCAGAGGTAGTCAAGGAGGCGGAGGCGGAAGCGCAGGCTCGGTCGCGCGAGCAACGCCAACAAGAACGACGGGCTGGCGAGGTTCGAGACGGTTTGCAAGTGAGGGTTGATTTCGGGCAGCAGCACTTGGTCCCGCGCTCTACCAGATGTAGCTACAGACCTTTCCCGCGTGCTAACCCGTTCGCTGGCCCTCGCGACCACCGTCGGTCCCGGTGTTGACACCGAAGTCTTGCTGGATACGTTTTGATTGCACGCCCTCCGGTCACTAACACCTGGATTTCGAGTTTGGTGTATTTCCCACTGCAGTATGGCGGTACTCCGCTGTGCTTCGACTTGTCCATTTAACGTTATGTTTTTCCCGCTCTCGCGTGATGAACTGAACTGAACACAGCATGACACAGACAATGATGCCGTCATGCGGCAAGAAGAAGCGCGCCGGCAGCTCGAGGTCGTCGCCGCAGCGGCGGCGGCGGCGTCAGAGCGCGCGAGGGTGCGCTCCGATCACGCTGCGGCCGTCGCCGTGGGTCGCCTTCGCGCTCCGCAGGTATGATACAATGCTGAACAAAGTAATACTTCATTTTTTTCGTTTTTAGCAGTACCAGTATCTTCATAATTTGAAATGTAACCTTCTTGTTGTAGAACTTTTGCACCTGGAAACGACAATTTACCACTCGAACGACTTGATGACGACGAACCAATCGTGCATTTCTCAAAACCATCGCAGAGCGTCTTCCACCGAATGCACCGCACCCCGAGCCGCCCGGAGATGAGGAGGTCCGTGACTCGCGGGCGGTTTTCTCCCGGCGGGCGCAAGCTCTGGCGGCAGTCGGAGGGTCTGTCCCCCCGCACGGGGCAGCTCTGTCTGTCACCGCGGCGGCGAGGAGGAGGAGGACGAGGAGGAGGAGGAGGAGGTTGTGGTGGGGTGGGCAGCGGCGGGGATTGGATTGTTCCCTTCTTCGGGGGAGGGGCGCTCGACTGGGGGGAGATGCGGACGACGGCGGTGGCGACTCGTCGGTGGGGCTCCGCAGATAGTACTACGTTCGTCAACAGGGACCTGCCCACCGCCAACGGTGATACCCATGGTGGGGGAGAGCACTGCAATAATGTTCGCGATCTTGGCGTGGGAGCGCTGGACGACGGGAGCCGCCGGTGGGGCTCCGCGGATGGAACTCCGTTCGTCAACAGAAACCGGCCCACAGCCGACGAGGATGCCAGCGCGTATGGCGATGTCGGGGGTACCGATCGTGGCGTGGGGGCGCTGGACGAGGGGGACCGCCCGTGGGGCTCCGCGGACGGTACGGCCGTCCACAGAAATACGCGTTCGGTCGACGGCGATACCAGTGTGGGGGACCACTGTGACGCCGGCGGTAGCGATCGTGGCGCGAGGGCGCTCAACGATGAGGCGGTCGTCAAGGAGGAGGAAGGGCAAGATAACGAGCTGCTGGCGGAGCAGCAGCAGGAGCAGCGAGAGACGGAAGAATGCGCTCTGTCGAAGTCCGATCCATCTCGTCATATCAACGGTAAATCCCATCCCCACGGAGCAGGAGGGGTCAGTTGCTGCAGGGGGGCAGAGATAGCGCGGGGAGAAGAGAACCACGACGACGCCGCGATTTCCATGGAAGACGACCGTAGAGCTGAACCTTCGGGTGGTGAATCGGCTTGCGCTGCTGCCGAGCGCGAGGACCGCGGTGGTGATGGTGTCGAGGAGGACCCTGATGGACCGCTTTCGTCCACTGTGCGGTACCTTTCGTACACCGTCAAGATCCCCTTGGGCGGGCACAGCTAGAGTGTTCAAAAGTATGCTGTTCGGTGCACCACTCCTTCTCTCCCTCCGGGGGGGGCAAAAGACACGATCCAAACAGGATAGGACCTCGTTTTGGTCGTAGCTGATGCGGGCGAGTTCCCGCTCTTCCACAGGCTTACCGCACTGAACGCACGCCCGGTAGACCGAGGATGTACACGTACGAGTGTTTGTCGATCGATGATGACCAGTCTGTCCCATGACGAAACATATCGAATTAGGATACCTCTACGTGCCCTGTGCTTGACCCACCGGAGAGTGAAACAGCTTTGGTTGCTGCGCGTTGGGCACCAAACAAAAGGCTGCTTGTCGTTCCCCGACAAAGCCACCCCCTGTGCACGGTAACCTTGTGTATCATCGGCGTAATCGTGGCGCCTGGTGCTGCTCTGTCGCACGTTGGATCGGACACACGCTGTCGAGTTTTTTCTCACAAGTTCTTCGACGGAGCCTACAAAGCATTATCTCCCCCAATCCACCAAAATTTTAAGGAGCCTGGGGCACACGTCCGTCAGCCCCACCCTCGCCCGCAGAGCACACTGCTTTCGTGTGTGTAGCACAAAAACACGGACATGAGTTCAAATTTCGACAAGTATTACGGGACCGCCGGATACCACATGGTCGTCGCAGAGCGCTGCCCTCCTGCCCCCTCCTCAAAAGACTGTCGCTGCCGCTGTATCTAGCGAAAGCCGTCGAGAGAAACGCAGTACTGAGTACCAGGTGCGCAGTTCATGACACAGGCACGCTGGTGACATCGAAAAAAAGAGAGCTGGTGTCGTCGTCACGCACGGTCCCGCATAATGACTACAGCACTAAACAAAACACAGCTATTACAGAACCATGTAGAGGACTAGCACGTCTGCCTGTGGCAAGCTGCGTTGCCAACGACACTCTTATGATTGGTGTCTGGGCTCATCACTCGGCTTTGGGGCGATAGCCTCCCAACGGCTTCGCCAAACCAGAGCCACAAAGAACGGCTTCCCCAAAGAGCGCAACGAAAACGCCCACAGGTTTTGTGACTGTGGTGGTGGCGTTAACGGGGGGCTGCTGTCTCCGCTGCGGCATCCTCCAGCTCGTCGAAGTCCGTGTAGATGCCCTGTACAAGAGTGGCAACCTGCGCGTACGACGCCCATATCGACGGCGAGGGGGAGTGGTGGGGGGAGGGGGGAGGAGTGTTCGACAAAACTACGGCTGTGCAATGTGCTGCGCGGGAGCATCAGGGAGTAACAGACAATACGAATGGCATCGAAAAAAATGCTCATCATCGCGACCGTACTTAACACTGAAGCAGTGCGAGGCCAATGCGGCACAAAGGCGAACCACCACCACCATAGCTCTACACTTGGGGCGGCCGATTCTCCAGAGCCCCGTCGCTCTACAACGACGTATGCTACACGTTCCCAGAAAAATCTCGAGAGACTCCGACGAATCGCTCAACCCCCCCCCAACTGACCTGATACGCCAGGAATCCCGAGACTGCCGGGATGAACTCAAATGTATCCTTGTTCTTGGAGACGATCAGCACCAGCAAGCCTGCGAGGGCCAGCCTTGCCGGCCCGCCTCCGCCCCCCCCCCCTCCCCCCCCCCCCCCCCCCCCCCCCC